ATGTGCTGTTGTTGGCGTCGATATGTACATCCAGAAAATTGATGGTTTTGTCAGTGGGTAAATTTAAGCACAGAGTTGTCCTGTAGGTTTTGTCGGCGCTTCATTAATTCATCAGTGTCCTTGGTAACAATGAAGCAGTCGTCGACGTATCTGCAGTACAGTGCGGGGTGGTGGTCCTGCAGCACTTTGTTTTCTATGTGACACATGTAAAAATTGGCGAAGGTTACTCCAAGAGGAGTGCCCATGGCAACTCCATCGACTTGCTGGTATAGCGAACCATTGATATGTTGAAAAGGTGACTTCATAGTACAGGCGAGTAGAAGTTCACGCATTATTTATTCAGGTATTTTGGGTGGAGACATGGTCAGGTGTCTGTAAACGTTGTCACAGATTATGTCTATTGTATCCTGGACTGGTACATTGGTAAATAATGATTCAACGTCCAAGGAGGCGAGTAGTCCCTGTGGATTTGTGGCATGTAGTAAGTGGAGGAAGTCGTCTGTAGATGTTAGCATATGTTGGGCAGGCATATACGGAGTGATGATGTGCTTTAGGTCTTTGGCAGTCTTGTATATAGGGGTAGGAATTTGTGATATGATTGGCCGTAGAGGGCTGTTCTGTTTATGAGTTTTTACGGTTCCGTAGATCTATCCAGGCGCATAGTCTCCTATGATAGGTTGGAGAACCTTTTCTTTTGCTTGTTTGTTGACAGTGGCGATCAATTTATTAACGTCTGTTTTTAGTGTTTTTGTCGGGTCAGCTCTAATCCTCTTAAACTTGCTATTGCCCGATAGAATGGCGTCCAATTTTGTCTTATATTCCTGTTTGTCCATGATCACTAGAATATTAGCTTTGTCCGCACGTCGCACAATGATGTCGTCATGGTTTCTGAGTTCCTTAGCAGCAGTACGGAGTTTTGGTGTTAGCAGGGGGGTGTTGTCACGGTCACGTCGTTTCGTGCTTTCTGCGCGTAGTTGGTCCCGCAAGGCTGGATTTATGTCGATAAGGTCCTGTTGTTGTAGTTGTATAAGAGAGCAGTAGAGTTTTTCGAGCTCAGCGGCTTTGATGTCCTTGTGGGTATGTGTGTACATATGCTCTCTTACACATAAAACAATAACAAGCTTGGGAAATTTATTATTGGAAAAAAAAACACTTTAAAAATGACTGAATTGAAACATTGTTTTTTAAAGAATAAAAAGTACTGAAAGGAATTTTGCATTTTGTTGTTTTGATATTTTGTTTACACAGAGTGATTTTAAGCAATTGATGCAGGTAAATTTCTGTTTTACAGAGCTGTTCATCATCCTTCAGAACATTGATAGAACTCATTACAAAAGAATTGTTAGAGAAAGCCTTCAAGCATAAAACTTCCTCTAAAATAATGGCTGATAAGTTATCTCCATCTCATTTAGTCAATGGTTTTAACTCAAGAACTGTTAGTGTTGACACGGGAGAAATAAATGATGTTCCATTTGCAAAACCAAAGACTTCTAAGAAAGAAAAAGAGGTTGATAGCAAGAAACCAAATGGAAATCATGCAACAAGAGTTGATGATTGTGGCAAACATAACTGTCTAGATGATAACAAAACAAGAAATATGTGGAGAAACCATAATGGGACTATTTCTCGACTAGATCAAACAGCAAGAGAGAGATATCATTCTTCAGTTGTTGATGTTTCAGTTGAAAATGTCTTAAATGACGATGATCCTATTGATATTTGTAAGTACAGTATATTCTGAACGTAAAATTACCACATTAATTTTATTTCGATAGTTCATCTTTCCATTGCTGGTATATTGTGAATAAAACTGTAAATGAGTGCATTGTTTTCTCCTGATGTTTGTCAGAACAATCCAGTTTACAATCTAAGCACATTTGAAGATTACAGTGGTAAGAGTTATTTCTTTACATAAATGAGATTGTAATTAACAAAACTGTCTTGTAAACATAATACCTTGTGTGTTTCAATTAAAGTAGTATTAAATTAAAGTGAATAAAAAGACAAGTTTTCTGAAAATATGACACACAACAACAACAAAAAATTGTGAAATTCTGTAAATGCTTAAGGGTATTGTTTCAGGGCTGGTAAGATTGAAATTGTAAAATCTGTCAGCTGTATCATTGATGTTCACTTGCACCATACAGCATAAAATTTTCATGCTTTGGTGTTTGTATTTACTAAATTTTAATTTTAAAAAATATCCACAAATCACAAATATATGAATGTGTGCAAAAGAAACAACCACATTCATCATCTAGAAGAAAAGAAATATTAAGCTTATGTGCTAAAGAATGTTTATTTATTTCAAGTCTGTTGCATATACCTGGTGGGCTGAATAGGTTTAAAAGCTATAATGTTCCATAATTCCAATATAATACCTTATCTCATTAAGTGCTGCTCTCTATGTACACAATACTGTCAATAGCCTTGGTACTCTCAAGGGATGCACTGGTAGTAAAATTTGTCCAAATACCGGGTCTGGGTACCCGGTCATTAAACTTCGGCTGGGGCTGGGTGTCAACCTTGCCCCACCTCCCCCAAAAAATAAACAACATACACAGAAATCGAAACAAAAAACAAAATTGACGTTTATTACATTTAACCGAATAATCACCTACAGAACATTTAAGTTTGATGTTCAACTGTCAATGCCTAGCCTCAACTTCTTAAACCCTAACCTCTATTGTTCTCAAAACCCCCACCTTCCCCAGAAATCCACTTCTAAAGCCATGCCTGTTATTAACCCCTATTGTTCACTGAATTCCCAACTTTCAGCAGGCAGTCAGTCTTTGTTGCTCAGAACTAAACCAATTATTGACTGTAACTTTCAGTACTGCACAGTTGCCACAAAGATTAGGGGTTAGATGCCATTCTCAATAACCGGATTCAGCTGTTTTTAATTTCGACACTCGGCCGGAACTGAGTATTACCAAGTATTCCAATACCCAGCCGGGGCTGAATATGTGGCTGGGTACCCGTGCATTCCTAGTACTCTCACATGCTTGCATGTGATATAGCTGCACTATATCGTACAATTAAGCATGCGATAACCCCCCACCAATAGGGTGTGACACACCCTCCTGGCACAGCTGGCTTCCTCTATACTTTTGAGCCCAATCTTCACTTCTTGATTTGGCATAGAAGAGTGCAGATGTATCAAACTTTTGCTTGCGTTTGCTTCAATTTTTGTATTTCAAGGTTTGTTAAACAACTAGCTTTGTTGTTTTATAAATTTTTTTTAAGTGAAACTAAATACTATAGGTTGATTTCTAATTTTCCACTCTCAGTTTGAATTATAAATTTCAAATTATAACAACAACTGCTGTTGTTGCTTCTGCTACTGCACTTCAACCTGCTGTTTCTTATTTTCTGTACCCTTCTCCTGCAGTCAGCAACTGTTCAGTTGAGTTGAGGAGAGCACACCACAAAATTGTGCCCTTCTCCTCCAGTTTGTGGCTGTTCAGTTGAGTTGCAGCACTCACATTACACAAACTGGGTTCTATGTTTTCCATTGTGGAGGTTTCAGTTTTCATACATTCCAAGTTCAAGTTCATTATATGGCCTCCTGGACCTTCAGCACCAGACCAGATGTTCCTTTTTCTGGTGAACATGGACAGAATGACAGGATTTGGATAGCTTGTTTTCACCCCATTTTGTTGCCATGCTTTCCCGAATTCCACCTGTGGATGCTTCCAAAATGTCTGCACTTCCTGGATATAGTGTCTGAGGAATGTTACCTTTTGTCTATATCTCCTGTGTCTTAAGATTCCTCTTCTTCTCTCCTTAATTCTGCCTCTTCCTTGGGTTACCTAGTTTTCCTACCTATCCAGATATGATACATGCTGATCAGTTTACAGCACAGTTAAGTTCTGGAGTTAGTATCATCATTAGAATTTTCCTTTTCTGGGCTCACAGTACTTAAACTGTTTGATTCTGGTGTGGGGATCTATCCCTGATAATACTGTGAGATTTTCCCAGACCCAATTTTCTTATCTTGATTTAACCCTCACTACCATTCCACATTACCTCCCCTCCATCCACCTCCTATCTGAGGCAGCATTTCTCTGCATTCCATGTTGGAACTCTTGTCTTCCTCAACTTTCTCCCTACAAACTTGTTTCCTCTGTTGTTGGAATCTCCTGGGTAGGGATGTACATTTAGGTCACGTGCACCTACCCATGTATTATTTGCAGGACCTTTGTATAGCTCCATTTTCATTCTGGTCAGTCTTTGGAGATTTGACTCTCTGGAGTCCAGGTTGGAGGCTGTTTGCCAACACTCCTCCTTTTTCATTAATAGTCTCTCATTTTTTTACAACCTTCCCTTCTCCCATTCCAACCCCCTTCTTCCCCCTTTGCATGTTCCCTTTTCCTGTTTCTTGGCAGTTAGCCATCAAATTGCTCATGCTGGGTCTCCTGCTGCCAATGGTACTGGTGACTGTACTGTAGATTATGGCATGGTTGGGGCACATTTGGCCTGGTTTGTGCACCTAAGGAACAATTTCACTTCGGATTATTGGATGATTCAAGTGTTATCAGAAGGACTTGTTTTCTAACTCCACCTCACTTATCCACATATCCCATTCCCTTCCCCCTTCCTCAGGATCCAAATTTCTACCAGCATCTTTCTAAAACAGTTTGGGCTCTTCTTCTCCAGGAAGCTATCAAACCCATCAGTCACCCATTTCCAGGGTTCTGTTCCCAGTTGTTCTTAATTCCCAAGAAGATCGAGGACTGGTGTCTTGTCATACATTTTTACAGTCTCAACCATTTCATTGACCTTCCTCACTTTACTATGGATTCTTTCCTCACTCTTCTGAGGGCATTTACCCCGGGTCTTTGGATGACAAAAATTGATGTCTTGTATGCTTGCCTTCTCATCTCTTATTCCCCATCATCAAGACATTACTTTCATTTTGTCCACAAAGGTTGAGTTTCTCAATTCCTCGCTCTTCCATTTTGTCTGGTTTACACACCCTGTGTATTCTGTCAGGTAGTCACGGCCTTTACCCGAGTTCTTCATTCTTATGTACTTTGACAGCTCAAGTGTGTTGGCTACTCATGTTGGAAAACTCTTTTCTCATCCTGACATCCATGGAAGCCCTCATTCCCTTGGTTGATGCACACATACGTACTCTTCCATGGGTGTTGCACAATCAATGGAATCTTGCTTGGGATCCCTTGGATTTGGTCATCCTACTCCCTTCCTCACTACACATTGTTTTTAGCCTAGTGGCTATAAAGGAACAACACCATGGCAGGAGTTTCTCTTCTGCCTCCCTATCATGAATTGCATCTCTTTATAGACACTTCTCTGACAGGGTAGGGAGCATTTATCTATTCCCAAGAAATTGCAGATCATTGGTCTTTGGTCAAGTCAGCTCTGTACATCAATATTCTGGTGCTATTTGCCATTTATCATGCTTTAGATCATTTCCTCCCTTTCATACGAGGCAAATTGGTCCTAGTCCATTCCAACAATTTGACTGTTTTCTCTTGCATCAATCAACAAGAGGGCATCTGTTCTCATTCACTTTGTTTTCAAACAATGGAACTCCTATTCTGGGTCCATTCACGTCACATCACACACACCTACTAACATGGTATGTCCTGGGTGCTCTGAATCTTGTTACAAATTCATTGCCTTATTACGATAAGATTCTATCCATGGAATGATCCCTAGATCCTCAGATATTTAGGTGATGGTGGGCACTGTGGGATATTCCACTTCTGAATGCATTTGCCACTCACCTCAATTCCACACTACTCCACTTTTGGTTCATGGGTCCACATCCTTTGGCTTTGGTGGTAGACATCTTCAGTCAGGATTGGTCAAACCTTTACCTTTATTCTTACCCTCCTATCTGTCTCCTTCTCTGGGTTTTATCCATTATCCAAACTGCTGTGTTGAATCCTTCTTATTGTACCTTCATGGGCTGCTCAGCTGTGATTACAGCCATCACCTCCATTATCACATCCTCTTCTTGTTTCCCGCTACAGCAACATCAGTTGTCTGTGTGTCATCCCACTATCATCACACTCCAGCTTCACATGTGGTATTTATCCAGTCCCTTGTGAGGGAATAAGGACTCTTCACACGTAGCATTCCTTTTTTTCCCTATTTAGTCCATTCTTCATTCTGAATGGTTTATCAGAGAAAATGGTGCATTTTTTTGCCTTGGATACCTCCCTTCTTGACCTAGTGTTCATATGTCTCTTAATTCTTTACTTGGCTGTTTGACAATGGTTCTTCTGGGTTATCAGGCACCCTTATCTAATACCTTCCCTTTTTCTCACACCCATAGAGTTTTTTTCTTCTCTCCTGTCCTCCCCCTTTAGTTTTGTTTCATTATCCTAAATTTACACCTATTTCGCTCCCTTTCAGTTCCAATTTGTATTATTGTTCTGATCTAAATAATCTTCTCTGTCCTATTTGTGTTCTCCGGTGTTATGGTACCTGCATGGCTTTCTTCTGTAGTTCCCATTCTTGCCTCTTTCTCCATTGGAACCCTTTCTTTATATGAGACATTTCCCCCATCACCCTTACGGGTTGGATATGCTAACTTATTTGGTTGGCTTATTCTTTCTTGATTCCCGATTCTTGACATATTTCCTACTGCCACCTGGATGTCGATTCCTGATGGTCTGGTGTTGGATTAGAGCTGGACCATCAACATAAGCCCTCACACATTTGGATAGTAGGGAGCACTCATCCTACAGTGGACTGGACAATAAGTTTCCAATACTGCCCAGATGTAGGATTCCCAGGTGGCCTGGTTCTGGTTTTGTACTGGGTTTACACATATGTGCACAGCTTGGGTGGTTGGAGCAGAAATTGTTTCCCCTTCTACTTCCAAAGCTTGAGGTGAAAATGGTTGGGACATTCCTCCTACTGCAGACTGGAAGACAAATACCTGATGCTGCCTGGTTTTGGACTGGAGTTGACCTACTGATTACAGTCTGATGTGCCCTAGCCACTTTACACCATTTGGTGTGTCCAACTGAGTATTGGATGTGCTCCTTTTTTGCTAAATTTATCAACACTTATCTTCACAACAGGTGAAAAGTATACGTGGTACAGATGTGGTATGGTCTCCCATGGATGTATTCCTCTTCAGAGAGATGTCACTCCATGGGTTTTTTTCAGATGATTTCTGAAGGGTTCTCATCTAGGTAAATTTTGCACATGTCATTCCTCCATTTCATTGTGGGATTCTAGCTATTTTGTGAGAAGACATAAGGTATCATATCAGAATTTATAATTTTTCTACACTGAAAATGTATTTCTGATTGATACTTACCTACTCTTACATTTCCCACCCTTCTTTCCCACTTCCAGTTTTTCCTTTTTTGCCTAATCTTGAAATGAAGATTGGGCTCTACAGTGTAGAGGGAGACAGCTGTTCCAGGAGGGTGTGTCACACTCCTGTTGGTGGAGGGTTGTCTAATGCTTATTTGCATGCTACAGATCTGCTGATCATGTGTAAACATGTGAGGTAGGTAGGAGTATCACGGTTAATGGCAAGCTAAAATTGCAGCACAGAACGAGAAAAGCTATTATGTGGGAAGAGGTAAGTACCTACTGGAAATACATTTTTAGTGTAGGAAATTTATTACTACTATGCAATAATGTTAATACAAGTTGTAAAAGTGGTATAGTAAAGCCATCATATTTAAATTTTTGATGACCATAAAATAACTTTGAAATAAGATACTATCCAAAACTAGTAAGCATTTGGGGTAGCTCTAAGCTAGATAACATAATTTTTTAATAGTAAAATTAATTACTACTTTTTACAAAAATTGTAATTGCACATTTAATTGAAATTTCAACATTTATTTATTAATTTACTTTAAAAATTGCTGCAGCAGAAGAAAGCTTGTCCTTTATGTCAGATTTCTCATTTTCATCAAGATATCTTCATAAATGAATGAGATATTCTAAAAACATTGTAACCTCAAGCAGATGTATATGCCACCTTAAATGGTAATCTTAACTCTTCTGCATATTCTTCATCTCTAAAAATTGTTAATATCGACACAATTATTAGTATCTACTTGCATGTTTACTTGCCCAGTTAAAAATTCATATTTCAGCCACATTTTGAAATGTTTGTAACACAGCAAGTAGTATTCAGAATGCCATTTAATTAGTTTTCTATAAAGTGTTAAAAGTGAACCAATTTAACTTTTTTCATATGTAGATGATTGTGGCCATTCCCGTGTTGAGGAATGGTTAAGCATCAGTAGTGGAAACAATGTAGATCACAATCAGATAGATGTAGTTGAGACCGTTGTAAAACCATCTACTCTTCCTCGTACATCAGGACAAAAAGTTTTGTCATCTTCAAAGAAATTAGACTGTGGTCCTGTTGTTAGTAGCACTGACCATATGGTAAGAATATTTTTTGAATTATAAGAAACAGTTTAGTTAGTGAGTCATTTTAGTTGAGTATAACATCAAAACAGTAGTATATACAGTAGCAAGCACATGTGTCACTTTTGAGTAGTTGAAAAAATTAGCAATATTTTCTCTTCCGCCTATCACTGCAGAGTGTTATGCTGCATATATTTTATTTACAGAAATGTTTGGATATAAGTCAGACATTAACCCTCTCACTACTGGCTCAGTCGATGTGACTGACCTTTTAACCCCAAAGTGGCCATGAGTTTCCCTACTTTAATTTTCAGTATATTTTGTATATCTTCATGAAATTTGGCAATCTTTCAGTAAACATTACAAGTCTTTTATGCATAAAATTCAGATTCTTTTAATCAAGTATTTTTACTAAAAATTTGTCTGTGGTTATATAGTCAGAGTGTCAACTGTTTAGAGTGCAAAGTGGTTTTCATGTTTAGATTGAAAATACTTCTTCTGAAGATTGTCAGATTTCATTTGCATAATCCCCAAAATCTTCTGAATACATACTAAACATATTTTTTCAGTGAAACTTGCCCCCACCCCCCAAGTGGTACAGCGGTATGTCTGTGGGCTTACAATGCTAGAAACTGGGTGTTGATACTTGTGGTGGGCAGAGCACAGATAGCTCTTTTGTGTAGCTTTGTGCTTAACTACAAACAAGCAAACAATCAGTGAAACTTTATACACAGCATGGTCACAAGTAAATAGACACCACCTTTT